GAAGTTGTGGCACATGGGACTTAGTTGCTCCACGGCATGTGAGATCTTCCTGGACCAGGTCTCGAACCCGTGTCCCCTGCGTTGGCAGGTGGATTCTTAACCACTCTGCCACCAGGGAAGCCCTGAACTTTGTTTCTTAAAGAACAACTGCAGTGCTCTAGCTTTAATACACTTTAGCTGGAGGATGAGATCCAGCAGATCCTTCCAGGAATTGTTATGCACTGAACTGCATTCCAAAATTTATATTTTCACATTTTAACTCGTAGTTCCTCAAAGTGTGACTGTATATGGAGGGAGGGTCTTTTAAAAGGTAATTATATTAAAATATGGATATTAAGGTGGGCCCTAATCCATTATGACTGGTGTCCTCATAAAAAGAGGAGATTAGGACACAGACACAGAGAGAAGACCATGTGAGGACACAGGGAGAAGACAGTCATCTTTAGGTCCAGAGAGAGGCCTCAGGAGAAACCAGCCCTGACAGCACCTCAGTCTCAGACTTCCAGCTTCCATCACTGTGAGAAAATGAACTTTTGTTGTTTAAGCCACCCAATCTGTGGTGCTTTGTTATAATAACCCTAGCGGGGACTTCCCTGGGGGTGCAGTTGTTAAGAATCCGTTTGCCAATGCAGGGGACATGAGTTTGAGTCCTGGTCCGGGAAGATCCCACATGCCACAGAGCAACTAAGCCCATGCGCCACAACTACTGAGCCTGTGCACCTAGAGCCCGTGCTCCACAACAAGAGAAGCCACCACAGTGAGAAGCCTGAGCACCGCAACAAAGAGTAGCCCCCGCTCACCGCAACTAGAGAAAGCCCACAGGCAGCAACAAAGACCCAACACAGCCAAAAATAAATAAATTAATTTTTTAAAAAAAGAGACCATTGGTTCTAGATGAAATCATCTTTAAAAAAAAAATAATAATAACCCTAGCAAACTAAGACTGGAACTGAGTTTTTCTTGGTTGCTAATAATCAACCAGTTGTGATATTAAATGGCCACAAGAAAAGAGCTATGTGCTCGCATGTCAGGGAGACGTTTGAAGAAAAGCACTTTCTGAGCAGGAGCTGGCACCCCATGGGACAGAATGAAATCCGTGCCAGTTCTTGCTGCCTCTGGCCTTGGTGATATGGGTATCCTGCAGAAGAGTTGGGTCCTTCATCACAGAGCTAAACGCACACACCCGGTCCAGGAGTCAGAGAAGCTGCAGGAGGATCTAGGGGAAGGTGGAGCAGGTTGAGGCCCAGCTATAACCTCACATCTATAGGCCAGTCAGCATGTCAGCAAACACTTGTGTGAGCTACAAAACGGAGACTGCTTCCCTTAGCCTTCCAAATCTGTGTTTAGGCCTATTCGTCAAACACTGATATGGTTATACCAAACTTCTAGGTATTATTGCACCACTATAATTTTCTATTCTTTGTTTCAAACGTTATGCATCTTTTTTTTTTTTTTTTTTTTTTCGGTACACGGGCCTCTCACTGTTGTGGCCTCTCCCGTTGCGGAGCACAGGCTCCGGACGCGCAGGCTCAGTGGCCATGGCTCACAGGCCTAGCCGCTCCGCGGCATGTGGGATCTTCCCGGACCGGGGCATGAACCCATGTCCCCTGCATCGGCAGGCAGACTCTCAATCACTGCGCCACCAGGGAAGCCCTCAAACGTTATGCATCTTTACATTTTAAATGTGTATCCCATAATAGCAGTAGTTTGATTTTTAAAATCTAATCTGATAATCTTTCATAAATTGAGAATTTATTCTATTTATAGTTAATGTAATTAAATTATAATTGAGTTTAAATATAATATCTTCTTTTTTTTTTTTTTTTTTTTGGCCGCATGGCTTGCAGGATCTTAGCTCTCCCACCAGGGACTGAACCTGTGCCCCCAGAAGCATGGAGCCCTAACCACTGGATTGCCAGGGAATTCCCTAAATATAATATCTTATATTCTGCTTTCTATTTGTCCTGCCTATTCTATTTTCTTTTTCCCACCTCTCATGTCATCTTGTAGATATTTCTTATTTTTTCATGTTTTGATTAAATATTCTATTTGTTACACTAAAGTTTTTAATATTCGCACTTAACTCATCAAAGTTTAAAGTTAATCAAAACCTTTCTGAGGACTTCCCTGGTGGTCCAGTGGTTAAGAATCTGCTTTCCAATGCAGGGGACACGGGTTCAATCCCTGGTGGGGGAACTAAGATCCCACATGCTGCAGGGCAACTAAGTCCATGTGGTCTAGAGCCTGCAGTCCACAACTAGAGAGCCTGCGTGCTGCAACTACTGAGCCCACATGCTCTGGAGCCTGCGTGACACAACTAGAGAACCCATGTGCTGCAACTACTGAGCCTGCATACCACAACTAGAGAGGTTGCATGCCACAACTTCTGAGCCCACGTGCTCTGGAGCCTGTGCGCCACAACTAGAGAACCCGTGTGCCACAACTACTGAGCCTGCATGCTCTGGAGCCCACGCATCACAACTAGAGAGAAGCCCACATGCCACAATGAAGAGCCCATGTGCCTCAACGAAGATCCCGTGTGCCACAACTAAGACCTGATGCAGCCAAATAAATAAATAAATAAATAGTTTTTAAAAACCTTCCTATCTTCCCATAAATAAGGATTTTTAGAAACATTAACTTCATAAGTCAGAAAGGGAAAGACAAATACCATATGATATCACTTATATATGGAATCTAAAATATGACACAAATGAACTTATCTATGAAACAGAAACAGACTCACAGACATAGAGAACAGACTTGTGGTTGCCAAGAGGGAAGGGGGATGGGGAAGGGATGGATTGGGAGTTTGGGGTTAGCAGATGCAAACCATTATATACAGAATGGATAAACAACAATGTCCTACTGTACAGCACAGGGAACTATATTCAATATCCTGTGATAAACCATAATGGAAAAGAATATGAAAAAAGATGTATATCTATGTATTACTGAATCACTTTGCTCTACAGCAGAAATTAATACAACATTGTAAATCAACTACACTTCAATTTTAAAAAAAGAAACACTAACTTCATATTCCTTCCTCTAAACTTCTGCTATTATTATTGTTGTGGTTTTAATTCGATCTTGTTTTTAACCCCCAAATACTGTATAATTATTACCATTTATATAGCAATCTTCATTTAGATTTTACCACATATTGATCATTCTTTGCCCTTTATTCCTTTTTATATCACTCTCACTTTGCTTGAAGTACATCCTTTAGAATTTCCTTTAGTATGAATTTGTAGTGCCAATCCCTTTTTTTTTTTCTGAAAATGTCTTTATTTGGCCCTCACTTTTGAAAGACAGTGAAAGATAACTAGGTTGGCAATTGTTTTCTTTCAATATGCTAAAGAGATCTTCCTACTGGCTTCTGAATATTACTGTTAAAAACCTAGTTATGGGCTTCCCTGGTGGCGCAGTGGTTGAGAGTCTGCCCGCCAATGCAGGGGACACGGGTTCGAGCCCTGGTCTGGGAAGATCCCACATGCCGCGGAGCAACTAGGCCCGTGAGCCACAACTACTGAGCCTGCGCGTCTGGAGCTTGTGCTCCGCAACGAGAGGCCGCGACCGTGAGAGGCCCGCGCACCGCGATGAAGAGTGGCCCCCGCTCGCTGCAACTAGAGAAAGCCCTCACACAGAAACGAAGACCCAACACAGCCAAAAATAAATAAATTAATTAAAAAAAAAAAAAACCTAGTTATTAGTCTAACTACTGTACTTTTCTCCTCTGACTGCTTTCAGATCTCACATTGTCTTTGGTGTTCTCTAATTTCATTGTGATGTATCTTATGTATAGGTTTCTTTTTATTTATTCTGCTGAAATCCATAGTTTTGTTTGTGTATATTGTCATTCACCCATTTTCAAACATTTTCAACCACTAGCTCTTTTTTAAAAAATTTATTTATTTTATTTATTTATTATTTTTCATGTGTTGGGTCTTCATTGCTGTGCGCAGGCTTTCTCTAGTTGTGGCGAGCAGGGGTTACTCTTTGTTGCAGTGCATGGGCTTCTCATTGCAGTGGCTTCTCTTGTCGTGGCACACGGGCTCTAGGCGCACAGGCTTCAGTAGTTGTGGCACGTGGGCTCAGTAGTTGTGGCTCACAGGCTCTAGAGCACAGGCTCAGTAGTTGTGGCACAGGGGCTTAGTTGCTCCTTGGCATGTGGGATCTTCCCAGACCAGGGCTTGAACCCGTGTCCCCTGCATTGGCAGGAGGATTCTTAACCACTGCACCACCAGGGAAGTCCGCAGCCATTAGTTCTTTTTTTTTTTAATAAATTTATTTATTTAATTTTGGCTGCATTGGGTCTTCATTGCTGCATGCAGGCTTTCTCTAGTTGGGGCGAGCAGGGGCTACTCTTCATTGCGATGCGTGGGCTTCTCATTGCGGTGGCTTCTCTTGTTGCGGAGCACGGGGTCTAGGCATGCGGGCTCAGTAGTTGTGGCTCACAGGCTCCAGAGCACAGGCTCAGTAGTTGTGGTGCATGGGCTTAGTTGCTCCACAGAATGTGGGATCTTCCCGGACCAGGGCTCAAACCCATGTCCCCTTCCCTGGCAGGCAGATTCGTAATCACTGCACCACCAGGGGAGTCCCCAGCCATTAGCTCTTAATATGCTTTTTTGTGGTCTAATCTGCCTTCTTTGGGGACTCAAATTACACCTATGTTGAACTTCCTCACCTACTCTCTTACCTCTCCTATTTACTTTTTAAAAATTTATTTTGAAATCTCTCAAGAGTCACTGATTTTTCTCTTGAGCTGTGTCTAACCTGCAGTTAACTTGTCAACTGGGATTTAAGTTTTTCAATTTTTTAGTTCTAGACTTTCTATTTAATTCTTTTTCAAATATGCTATGTGATTTTTACAGTTTTCAGTTGTCCGCTAAATTTTTCAAGCTTTTTTGTTTTTTCTTTGAACAGAATAAAAGTTTGTGTCTGATTAAACCAGTATCTTGGGTCTCTAGGGTCTGTTCTTATCTTTTTGTTTCTTGTTTTTTTTTTCTTCCTTGTTTTTTTTTTCTTCATCTCTCATATGGGCCTGATGATCTTTTTTACATATTGGATAAATCACTGAAACAATTTGAAGCTTAGGTTGTTCTCTTTCTCCAGAAGAGTTTTAATTGTTTTTTTCCGGGTGCCTGGGAGCACTAACCATAAGAGAGGGCTTAATCTAATCTAATTTTCAGGCTTAATCTAATTTCAGGGCTTGAGATTTCCTTAAAAGATTTTCCTAAAGCTGGGCTCCAGACTCTCTGAAGGTTGATTTACTTCCAGTTAACCCTCACTTCTAGGGTGCAACCCTTTAAGATTCCAGCTCAAAGTAGCACGTGTTTTCCCTGGGGCCCCAATCTTGGTGGGCCACAGACTCTGTTGATTATTTGTTGCTGCATAACAGAAACCCAGAGACTCAGTGGCTTAAATTTAAAAGATGTATTATTTCTTATGACTCTGAGTATTGACTGGGCTTAGCTGGACAGTTCTGCTGCTGAAGCCACTTATGCAGCTCAGCTGGGGAGGGAATGTGCATGTATTCACTCATCCGGGAAGGCTGGAATGGCTTCAGCTCTCTCTTTCTCTTCATATGGTCTCCCACCATCCAGTAGTCTAGTCTTGACTTCTTTATCTGGCGACTGCATCCCAAGAGGACCAGAGAGGAGCTGCTAGTCCTCTTGAGGCATTGACCTGGACCTGACACAGTATCACTTAATGCCACATTCTATTAGTCAAAGGAAGTCAGATTCTAAGGGAAAGCAAACAGACTCGCCTCCTTATGGAAGGAGCAACTGTGTGTGCAGGAGTCATCATTGGTCATCTCTACAGACAAACACCTCTAAGCCACTGAGGCTTTCGAAGATGCAGCACAGCCTTCCATCTCTCCTGGATTTGTCCCTAGGGAAAAAGCTTTCCCAACTGCCAGACTCACTTCTCCGGATTCCTACTGTGTGATGCTGCCTGGGTTGTTTTCTCTGAGTTGTTATCTTGTAAGCTCTCTGGTGCTCTGAAGAATATGTTTTCTAGATCTTGTTCATCAGTTCACTTGTCTTTGGCAGGCAGGTCTAGACTACCTAGGCCACCATTACCATAAACTTCCTCTTCAATAGCCTGTTGAGAGTGATATGGTCCCCGAATCAGTCGGACACCTCTTAATAAGTTGTATGCAGAAGGGTTCTCGTGTCACTCCTTGGAATGTGGAGGTTCTTTTTTTGTTGTCTAATAGGTTGAAATAATGGGATCACCCAGACTCAGTTTGTTCACTGACTTCTCTGGGTCTTGCCTCATCTGTTTCGTTCACCATTCTTCTCAAATCTTCGTTCTGGGTTCAATTTCCTTTTTCCTGAAGTACATACTTTAATCACAGTCTGTTACTAACACTTTCCATTTTTGTTTCTCTGAAAATATTTTCATTTTATCCTCACTCTTGAATGGTAGTTTAATGGGGGGGTATAAAATTCCACAAGCTCTTCATGCCTTGCAGGGCCACCCGGACCTTGGCAAGCACATTGGGTGGTGGTGGAAGCTTCAGCAGGTGAGTTGAGGGGCTGACAGTGCAGGGCACACACTGGCCTGCTAGGGGCGGTGCTGGGGCCTGGAGGTCCCAGCAAAGAGTGAGGCCCAGGTGGACCAGGTGTGCACTCAGGTCCAGCATGAGGTGGAGACTAACCTGAGGTGGAATCTCCAATGAGGTCCTGTGCCACCACTTCAGCATCCCCAGATGGGGGCCTTGGTGCTGGCTGGGTAGAGGACCAGCCTGTGCCGTGGCCTTGGCCCTGCAAGATCCATGGGCGGAGAACAGGGGTGCTCAGCTGTTCCCACCAGTATGATATCTGGTCCTTATCAGTCAGCCCTTTAGCCTTCTAAGATCTTCAAAATGGCTGAAATGCAAAGGATGGTTTTTAAAAATATAATTGATTTTCTTAATCACATTCTGTGCTTGTAATGAGTAAATATTTGAGCTCTGAATTACCAAATCAGTGTCTTTTAAAGAAAGAAAAAAAGAAGAATTGAGCCTCAAACCAGTGGCTACTTATTTGAAAACTTTCTCCCTATCTGGCATACTCACGCTTTGACACTTTGTTTCCTGGCAGGGGAGGCACACTAGGACACTGCTGTATAGATGAGATAATATGCAGAACCTGCTCTGAGAGTTATAATTAATGTTTTCACTGGACAATTTAGCTGACAAGTAAGCTCAGAATACTATGAAGCCTCATATATTTTAAAGCTTATCTGCAGCCCTGAACTGCAGCTGTGGCCCTTTCTGTATCACTCTATATATAGCTGTGACCTCCCTAGGAATGCCTTGAGAAGGGGCCTGCATCGCTGGGGTATTAATTGTGTATCCAGACCCTAGAACTCAGCTCTGCCAGTTTTGTAAATGTTAGTTTTAGTGGACATTTGCATCAGTAAATTGAGCACAAATAAAGTGATTTTACATTTGTCTGAATGAATTTTATTTTAAAGCTGTGTTAACTAGCTGTTAGCACATCTATAGCACATCTACTTTTTTAACTTCTCTCCCAAGAATTCTGTTAAGAGGAAAGGCAAAATCAGCACAATGAGAAACAACACCGAGTTTTGCAGGCCTCTCACTGTTGTGGCCTCTCCCATTGCAGAGCACAGGCTCCGGACGCACAGGCTCAGTGGCCATGGCTCACGGGCCCAGCCGCTCCAAGGCATGTGGGATCTTCCCGGACCGGGGCACGAACCCGTGTCCCCTGCATCGGCAGGCGGACTCTCAACCACTGTGCCACCAGGGAAGCCCTGCAAGTGTATTTTAAAAGGTGTTTAGCAGATCCCTCTATTCAGTCTGACCTCTCGAATATTTTAAAGGTAGCATCAGCACTGGAATGGAAAACCTATCAAGCCTAAGTCCTTTTTTTTTTAAGTAGGTTTTTTAAAAAATTAATTAATTTATTTTTGGCTGCATTGGGTCTCTGTTGCACGACGGCTTTCTCTAGTTGCGGTGAGCAGGGTCTACTCTTTGTTGCGGTGTGTGAGTTTCTTATTGCCGTGGCTTCTCTTGCTGCGGAGCACGGGCTCTAGGCGCGTGGGTTTCAGTAGTTGTGGTGCATGGGCTCAGCAGTTGTGCCTCACGGGCTCTAGAGCACAGGCTCTGTAGTTGTGGCGCACAGACTTAGCTGCTCCGCAGCATGGGGGATCTTCCCAGACCAGGGCTCGAACCCGTGTCATTGGCAGGCAGATTCTTAACCACTGCGACACCAGGGAAGTCCCCTAAGTCCTTTTTTAGATCCTGGTTTTTGATAGTGGTGTATGGGGAACTCTTTTCTGAAAGGTTTTACCTTTTGCAATTTTAGGAAGGATTATCTTTTCAGCTTGTTTTAAAAAGCTGCAGTTTGTGTTGATTTGTGGCTTCTCTACTTCATCAGCTATACCGGCCGGCCACACGCTTCCAAATAAAATAAACCCAAAACCAACCTCAGAACCGTATTTTGATCTGTAACAACTAAATAACTTTGTCAAGGGGAGTTCTATTAATATTCCATATAACATTTAATTAAGGTGATGGCTTTTATCTTACTACCCGCCTCAAAAATAAAAACAAAACCAAAAACCTCAATTCTCAACCCGAGGCAGAGCGGGCTCTGGGGCGCGGTCGGCGTCCCCTCCCTCTGAGGTGTCGGACTGTGTTTTGAAGCCTTGGAATCCAAAAAGCTCACCGCCCCGCTCCCACGCGGGATGGGCCTCCCCACCCCTCCCCTCCCCGGCGGTGTCACCTTACACCTTGAGCAAGGACGTCCTCCTCTGGACACGCCCCTCCCTCCAAGTCACCAAGGAGGTACCGAAGTCGCTGCCCTGAGAGGCTCCTTCCCCGCCACCCGAATGCGTCTTCGTCCCAGAGATGGCCCCTCCGCCGCCGCCGCAGCACAAACACCTAGTGGGGGCCGGCGTCGGGGGCCCTTCGTGGCCCGGCCCGTCCCCTGCCTCCCGGCCCACGGCAGCCCAGACTTCCCGCGTCCCGGCCTCTCTGCGTAACAGACCGCGATCCCGCCACAGACACCAACTTTCCATAAAAGCTGATTCTACGCAGCCCCGCCCCCGCGCAGGCGCAGGCGCATTGGCGGCCGGGCGGGAGGCGCGGTCAGCCAGCCGGGCCACGGGACCCGCCTCCGCCCGCTGGAATGCGCGGCCCCTCCTCGCCCCGCCCACGGCTGCCAACCCGGGTGCGAGGTCTCCCCTGCGGCCTGCGGTCCTCCCTGGAATGCGGGCGGGCCTCACTAACTAGCCGAGTGTGACTTCACAACACGCATGTGTAACAGGACGTCTGAGAGTTCGCGCTCCGGTGTCCGCACCCCAGGAAGCCCTGACCTCCTGTGCTGTGGTTCAAGGAAAGTGCTAGAGGCCCGTCTGGGAGAGGCCGGGGGTTCACTGCCTGCACAGATGGAATCTGGAGAGATATCCCCCTGTGGGCTTCCTCAGCGCCCCAGTGCCTGCCCTCCCCAAGATACCTTCAGACGGCTCCGGGGCCTTCATGCCTTTGGAACTGAGTGTCTGTCCCCATTTCACCTGAAACCACCGTTGACTAGTTGTACCCACACTGCCCACGCAGCCCCCTCCCCCGACAGGGCAGGGCAGGGTAGGCCTTTCCGAGGGAGCCCCAGGAGCCCTTTCTGCCGCAGCTGATACCTGGGCTTCTGCTTGCGGAGCCCAGTCAGAGTCCCAGACCCAGATCCCGGGGAGACCCTGCTCTTGCCCGCGCCAGTCAGAAGTCCGGACCCAGTGGGGTTAAACCCAAAAGTTTGGTTTTGTTAAAAAAAAGAAAAAGAGAAATCTGGAAGTGGGTCGTGCAGCTGCTCGAGGCCGCGTTGGGGGAATTGCTACAGCCGCGTGTCCGCACTTCCTCCGTCTCAGATCTGCATGGGAATTGGAGTCGGCAAACTGCATGATATTCCAGAAGCTTTGGAAGTGGGAAAGGGCGTGGAGGCCATGCCCCTGCTGCTCTTTGCTCTTTGCTGCCGACGAGCAAGGTCGTGAAGCGATGAGGACTCTCTGAGCATGTTCCCGTGTCTCCTCCGAGCTGCCCGGGTGCTGGCAGGCGGGGGCAGCAGTGAGAGTAGCAGCAGAAGCATCTCTGTTTGGGCGCCAGAACCTGGAATGGTAGCTCTGGATGTTTTGCAAACTCGTGACTCTAGAGGCAGGTCCAGAGCGCGGAAGCCCCACCCCCACCCCAGGCAGTTTTTGTTACTCTGGAAGTGTTCCAGAGGGCGGAAGCCCCACCCCTACCCCAGGCAGTTTTTGTTACTCTGGAAGTGTGCGCAGAGGGCGGAAGCCCCACCCCCACCCCAGGCAGTTTTTGTTACTCTAGAAGTGTTCTTAGATCGCGGAAGCCCCACCCCCACCCCAGGCAGTTTTTGTTACTCTGGAAGTGTTCCCAGAGGCCAAGCCCAGACCTTGTTCCTCCAGCTCTTCCTGATCAAGTTTAGTAAGTCAGCCTTGCTTAGATTACCTCCCGTGGTTCTGCTCCCCGCACCCTGACTGCCCCAGGTTTTGCTGCTAGAAATAATGTGGCCTTACCACCTGTGGTAACAGGTGAGGTGTGGGTGATGTCACTGCCCTCCAGCTAAAGACCAGAGGAGCACACCTGTCACTGAACAAGTTGACTTTACTCCGGGGACTTCCCCGGTGGTCCAGTGGCTAGGACTCCATGCTTCCCCTGCAGGGGGCACGGATTTGATCCGTAGTGGGGGAACTAAGATCCCGCAAGACGCGGACGGTGGCAAAAAAAAGTTGACTTCACTCCGCACTGCTGACCACACACCTGGGAGTCATGGGGTGTCTCAGTAAGAAGATGGTAGAAGGCACTTGGTTACAGGCTTGTAAAAGGTGGTTTTGGTGAAAGTTTAATAGGAAGCAGGATTAGACGCTGTCAGGTAGTGGGGGAAATTAAATGCTTGAATATCATAGTAACTCATCTATAAGGAGGGAAGGCTGCACTTGGTAAAGAAGCATTCATCACTCATAGTAGATAAGAGAGGGGGAATGTTTGGTCATTTTTCGTGGTTTTGAAACATTTTTTTCTGTGTTTAGACCTGATTACAGGGTGCTCTTGTTTTTGTCTCGATCCATCTAGGTCATGTTCTGTGAACTTGTTTACGTTCAACAGGAGAACGCCATGGCGTAGCTGTGAGCGCCAGGCCGGCTCCCAGATGGCAGGGGCTGCTTTTCCCTTGGTGTAAGTATGCATCTAGGTGGGCTGGGAAGCCAGTGAGCCCTGTGCTACCACGGCAAAACATTTGGTAAAACTGTTGTGCCTTTGAAGGTAGACCACGTACCTAAAGCGTCTGTCGAAATGTGCTGATAGGCTGTGTCTCCTCACCCACAATCCACACCTATGGCCTCACAGGGAGGTCCTTATGACCAGTAGATTGAGGAGGAAAAACCTTGATCCTGGTTTACAGATGGTCCAGGAGTGGATGGCTGCGGCTCTACAGTCCCACTCAGAGGTGGCCCTAAAGGAGAGTAATGGGGCTTCCTTGGTGGCACAGTGGTTAAGAATCCGCCTGCCAATGCAGGGGACACGGGTTCGAGCCCTGGTCCGGGAAGATCTCACATGCTGCGGAGCAGCTAAGCCCGTGTGCCACAACTACTGAGCCTGTGCTCTAGAGCCCGCAAACCACAACTACTGAGCCCACGTGCCACAACTACTGAAGCCCGTGTGCCTAGAGCCCGTGCTCCACAACAAGAGAAGCCACCGCGATGAGAAGCCCGCGTACCGCAATGAAGAGTAGCCCCCGCTCGCCGCAACTACAGAAAGCCCGCCCCCAGCAACAAAGACCCAACACAGCCAAAAATAAATAAATAAAATAAAATAAAAAAGAGTGATGAAGGAAAATCTTCCCAGTGGTCTCCATTTCAAGCATCCCTTTGGGTCGTTGTCCACTTTGCCTGGACTGAAAGATGGCTAGAAGTATGGCTCTACATTTGCTCGTGGACAGTTGCTAATGGCTTGGCTGGATCATCAGAGATTTGGAAAAAACAAGACTGGAAGATCGGGGGAGGGTGAGAGGGAGAGGCAAGAGGGAGGAAATATGGGGATATATGTATATGTATAGCCGATTCACTTTGTTATAAAGCAGAAACTAACGCACCATTGTAAAGCAATTATACTCCAATAAAGATGTTAAAAAAAAAATCGGTGAAGAGGTGATCTGGGGAGGAGACATGAGGATGGACCTCTCTGTATAGGCATAAACTGTGAAGAAAATTTACCATATGTGAATACCCACCCAAAGGCACCTACTGCAGAGGAGGCTCACAAGAATCAGCTGGGCAAGGGACTTCCCTTGTGGTCCAGTGGTTAAGACTCTGTGCTTCCACTGCAGGGGGTGCAGGTTCGACCCCCGGCGGGGACCTAAGATCCCACATGCCATGCGGCATGCCCAAAAGATTAAAAAATTAAATAAATCACTTGAGCAAGACAGTCCATCCTGTGCATAGCAGTTCAGCCTCTTCAGCCAGCCATCCAAGTGCTCGTTCAATGGGCCCATGTACAAAACAGCCAAGGAGGCAGGGACAGGGGCTATGAAGGGGCTCAACATCATGGACTTTGCCTCACCAAGACTGATTTGGCTGTCATCACAGTTGAGTAACAGCAGAGACTAATACTGAGCCCCTAATATGGTGTCATTTCCCAAGGGACCAACTAGTCACTTGGTGAAAAGTCAATTACACTAGATCTCTTCCACTGTGGAAGGAGCAGCAATTTGCCCTCACTGGGTAGACATTTATTCTGGATATAGATTTGCCTTCACTGCCCGTGATGCTTCTGCCAGCACCACCGTCCACAGATTTACAGTACGCCTTATGGACCTTCATGCTATCCCACAGAACATTTCTTTGATCAAGGGATTAATTTTACAGCAAAAAAAAATGAAATAATAGGCTATGCCCATGGAATTCCCCCACTCGTGTCAAATGGAGGAAAGGAACAGAAAAAAAAATTTTTACAAAATAATAATAAAATTTAAAACTGAGCTGTTTAAATGTTGCTGTTTTTACCTGTCTGCTCTTGTCCAAAAGTGGGACATTCCTGAGGAGAAGAGGAAGGTTCCGCTTGTTTCCTTAAATCGCCAAAAGCCTCAGCCCAGAATTCAGCACCCCCTACCCGCCGAATTCTTGCAACGTTATTTCCTGGTTGGTTGATGCCAAGGCAAAAAGACATCCTTTTAATGGTTAGAGAAGATCAGTTGCTTAAATGATTTCACGTCAGTGTTGTATTTATGGTTTTACAATAAAATGACCTTTAGAGAAAAAAAAAAGACTTGTACCATGAAGACAACAATAAATTGCTGAAAAAATTAAAGACACAAATAAATGGAAACATTCCATGTTCATGGATTGGAAGACCTCATACTGTTAACATGTCAGTACTACACAAAACAATCTATAGATTCAATTCAATCCCTATGAAAATTTCAATGGCATTTTTTCAGAAATAGCAAAACACATCCTAAAATTCACATGGAGTGTCAAGAGATCCCAAAGAGCCAAAGCAACCTTGAAAAAGAACACGGCTGGAAGGCACGTTTCCTGATTTCAAAACTGCTGCAATGCTCTGGTGCCCAGAAGAGTGTAATGCTGGCATGAAGACAAACACAGACCAGCAAGCAGAATAGACCCACCCCGTGTTCCTGTAGGTCAGAGTCTTCGCAGCCTCGGATTCGGCAGTGATTTCTGGGCACGGGCAACAAAACAAAATCTGAACAATGGATTTCATGAAAAATGCAAAATTTTGTGCATCAAAACACATTATCCAGGGACTTCCCTGGTGGCGCAGTGGTGAAGAATCCGCCTGCCAGTGCAGGCAACACGGGTTCACGCCCGGGTCCAGGAAGATCCCACATGCCAAGGAGCAACTAAGCCCCTGAGCCACAGCTACTGAGCCTGTGCTCTAGAGCCCGCGAGCCACAACTACTGAATCCCCCACGCCTAGAGCCTGTGCTCTTCAACAAGAGAAGCCACCGCAATGAGAAGCCTGCGTACCGCAACGAAGAGTAGCCCCAGCTCGCCGCAACTAGAGAAAGCCCGCGCCCAGCAACGAAGACCCAACGCAGCCAAAATAAATAAATAAATTTATTTTTTAAAAAGACATTATCAAGAGAGTAAAAAGGCAACCCACAGAATGGGAAATAAATTTGCAAATCACATACCTCATGAGAGATTAACATCCAGAATTTAACGAGAATTCCTGAAATTTAACAACAAAAATACAATCTGATTAAAAAAATGGCCAAAGAATTTGAACAGACATTTCTCCAAAGAAGAAATACAAATAGTGAGCACATGAAAAGAAGCTCAACCTCACTAATCTTTAGGGAAATGCAAATCAAAACTACAATGAGATATCACCTCACACCCATGAGAATGACTTCTATGGGGAAAAAAAAAAAGACAATTACAAGTGGCCCTGAGGATGTGGAATAATTGGAGCATGTGTGCGCTGCTGGCGTTGCTGAGGATGGACTGCTATGGAAAACAGGATTGTGAGCCCTAAAAACTTAAGCCTAGGTTTACCATAGGGTCCAGCAAGTCCACTTCTGAGTATATATCCAAAAGAATTGAAAGCAGAAGAGAAGATTTGCACACCCACGTTCTTAGCAGCACTGTTCACAATAGCCAAAAGGTGGAAGCAGCCCGAGTGTCCACTGATGGATGAATGAATAAATAAAATGTGGTCTATACATACACATGTGTATGTGTACATAAGACAATGGAATGTTACTCAGCCTTAAAGAGAAAGAAAATTCTGACATAAGCTACAACATTATGATCCTTGAGGCTATCACTCCAAGTGAAATAAGACAGTCACAAAAAGACAACTACTGTTTGACTCCACTTCTCTGGGGTACTAGAGTAGTCAGATTCACAGAGACAGAAAGTGGGATGGTGGGTGCTATAGGCACAGGGAGGAGGGGGAAGTGGCAAGGAGCAAGTTGTTTAATGGATCCAGAGTTCCAGTTTACAAATGAGAAAGTTCTGGGGATTGGTTGCACAACAACATGAATATACTTAACACTACAAAACGGCACACTTAAAAATGGTTAAAATGGCAAAATTTGTGTTATGTGTACTTTATCACAATTTAAAAATCAACTATGGCCTCATGATGGGTTAGAGAAACAATGCCTATGGCAGCCATGAAAATGTTCTTCCTTTCATGTTATGTGGCTGTGTGTGCATATCACTGATAGCTTCTTTCTCTCCTTCTTCCCATTATTTTATAGAAGGATTGCAAGTGGTGGTGAACCTTAAATTTTAGTCTTTCGGTAACAGCATATTCATATGGGACTGGGCCTGAATTTATGGAGTCATTAACGCCGTCCAGAGATGGAGATTGTAACTGTGTCCCAGTGATGGATGCAATGACTCTTGGGACTTTGTGTCCCCCGTATGATGGATGCAATGACTCTTGGGACTTTGTGTCCCCCGTATGATGGATGCAATGACTCTTGGGACTTTGTGTCCCCCGTGGTTTGGGATGAGGGGGAGAGCATTTTCAATTTAGAGTAAATAGTTACATCTTGTTCAGTAGAAGCATCAGGTTGTTTCTGCTGTTGTGTGTGTAGGAGTGTATGTATGGGCGCTTAGCAGTCAAAGAGGGGCACTGCTATTATTCTCTCTCCTTCAAACCCACGCTTCTACACTCTGCTTTCTGATGCTAAGGCAGGGTCTCTGCAAACACATTTCTCCTTTGCCAACTAGCTGCCTGTTAGCATCTCACCAAAGTAGGTAATGGATGTCGATGGGAAAGCTGCAGGAGGGAAAATGCACTCATTCTTCTCTGTTTGCCAGAGAAATGGTGCTTCACCGTGAGAGTAGCAGGTGATTTCAAGAGCAGCAGTGGATTCCGGTTTGCAGTTTTCCCACATTTCTAGAACCAGCCTCGCTGCATTCCTCCTCTGGAATACCAGCACCAGCGCCCTGGTGCCCTCTCCTCAGAGATGTTGGATCTCAGCTCTTTGAGGTCCCTCCATCCAGCTGCTGAGGCATCAGCACAAATCAGGCATGGCCCTTCCTCAGAGGTCTGGCTCTCAGTTCCTACAGGATCCCTTCTCTAAGCTTCTAAATTTTAATAATCTCAGCCTCTTACCTTTGTTCCCCCAGCACTAGGCATGGTCGCTGCTTCCTGAAATACCAGCTGTGAGATAAATTATTGTCGCCTTTTTGCTTTTTCAGTTTTCTGATACCTGGTGAATAATTCTTTATGTTGAATTCTCTCTGTTGAAATAATTATTCTAGTTTCCTTCTTCTGAATTGACTGGTACATGTAGTAAAGGAAGCAGTTAGAAAAAAACGAGTAAGTGGCATGTGTTGGCTGCTTCAGGCTAACTCTAGCAAAGTTATAAGAAAGAAAAACTGGAGGCATGAGTTAGCTAGACTGGAAGCAAACCAAGGAGAATAAAGATCTGACTTATTTACGCCACCATTGCCATGAAGGACTGCAGAGGCGCTGCCCGGATTCTCCTTCAACAGGCTTGTTGCCTCAGCTGCTGGGAGGGCTGTTGATTGACAGACTTCAGCTGTCAATCAGGGACTACCTCAGCATATAGAGCAGGCCTGCTCAATATCACACATCCAGTGACTGACCTGATGGGGGAGTATAAAGACCTGGCCATTCTTACCCAACTCAGAACACCTGAAGAGCCATTCTAGTTCGGAGACCCCTGTGGGGTTGGCTGGGGCCACTATCATGGTTGCATTGCTCAACTTCTCCCTCTGCCCTCCTAGTTCCCTTCCCTTCCTTCCATACGTGTCCTTCCCAAAAGCGTCTCTTAATGAGCGTCCTGCATTCTAAACTCATCTTAGAATCTCTTCTGAGAACGTATCGACTTTTTCTTTTGTGAATTTTGGAGTAAACCAAAGATAGAGAAGGAACTAAAGAAAGAACTGGAGCTAGAGAGAGGGCATAAATAAACAATACTAGGAACAAAGCAGAGAATGTAACCAGAGATGCTACGGTTACTCAAAATCTTGTAAGAGGTTATGAACAATTTTATGCCAATACATCTGAAAAGACATAGGATGTATAGATTCCCGGAAAAATACAAACTGGGAAACTAAATTAAGAAGAAAGTGTAAAACCTGTAACAATGAAATACATTAGAAATCTTTTCAAAATAATGGATTTACAAGCAATACCTGCCAAATATTGAAAGAACAGATCATTTCAATCTCACACAGAACCTACAGAGACGAGAAAAAGAGGGAATAGTCCCCCGCTACATTTTTGTGTATGTTAACATAATATTGATACCAAATGCAAACAACGGCAGTATAAGAAAACTATAGGCAAGTCTCATTCGTAAACACAGAGGCAAAAATATGAAGCAAAATCTTAGGAAAACCGACTTATCAAATGTATCAAATTTATAGCAACTAACAGCCAGTTGGAGTTTATCTCAGGAGTGCAACGTTGCTTTAACGTCATAAAACGGATTAGTAACCATCCATGTTTGATGAGCTTAAAGTTGACCATCTTGTCACCTAATCAAGTCTAGTGAGGATGAGGCTCCTCTGGTGTAGTTCCTTAAGTAAACAGCTGCTCAAATATAGTTTTTCTTGGCCTGTGGATCCATGCAACTAAGAGAAAGGTTATCCGCCTCTCCCCTGCCACACATAGCCTGCGTGTACAATGGCGCAACTGGCATAGGAGAGCTGCTGTAGACATTCCTGTTCAAAAAGGGGGGCAGGTGGGAAACACAAAAGAGTCACCAGGGCTTCCCTGGTGGCGCAGTGGTTGAGAGTCCGCCTGCCAACGCAGGGGACACGGGTTTGAGCCCTGGTCTGGGAAGATCCCACATGCCGCGGAGCAACTAAGCCTGTGTGCCACGACTACTGAGCCCATGTGCCACAGCTACTGAAGCCTGTGTCCCTAGAGCCCATGCTCCACAACAAGAGAAGCCACCACAATGAGAAGCCCGCTCACCGCAACAGAGTAGCCTCCGATCACTGCAACTAGAGAAAGCCCGCGCAGCAACAAAGACCCAACGCAGCCAAAGATAATAAATAAATAAATAAGTAAATGATAAATAAATAAAGCCCATTAAGAAAAACAAACAATGGGCACCTTTGGGGCTCTCCATTAACTACAGATTTGGCACACAGCTGCTAAGCTTTCTGCCATTACGTAACAGGAAGCCCTGTTGTTCACCTCCTTCTGAACCCTCACTGACAGCATCCTCAAAGTCCAGCTTTCCACTGATGGTCTGTCCATGGTTATGTAGCATTTATCTAACAGTCCTCAGAATCCTTCTGGCCTCTGCCCACAGCCTGGTTCCAAAGCCAGTCCTGCACTTTTAGGTATTTGTGTGACAGCACCCCATTTCCAGTTACCAAAAAGCTATATTAGTTCTCTATTGCTGCATAACAAATTACCTTAAAACGTAGTGGTGACAACAGTGAACATTTACCATCCCAGTTTCTGTGGCTCAGCTGCGTCCTCTGCTCAAGGTCTCCCCCAGGCCACAGCAAAGGGTCAGCTAGAGTGGCTGTCATCTCAAGGCTCAACTGGGAAAACATCCCCCTCCCGAGCTCCCTCATGAGGCTGTTGGTGGGTGTCAGATCCTCTCTGGCTGCGGGCTGGAGACATCAGTTCCTTGCTACAAGGCGCTCTCCACTGAGCTAGTCACAACGGGCCAGCTTGCTTTTCCCGGAACAAGGGCTCTGAGAAAGAGACAGAGTGGGTGAGCAAGATAGAAATCAGTGTTCTGGAACATAATCTTTTTTTTTTTTTAGAGTTTTTTGAAAACTTTTACTTTACCTATCATATTTAATATTTCCAAGACTAAAAAATATAGAATGCTTCACAAATTTGTGTGTCATCCTTGTGCAGGGGTGGAACATAATCTTGGAAATGACACCCCATCACTCTTGTTATGTTATATTCCTTAGAAGAGAGTCACTAGGTCCTGCCCAGACTCAAGGGGAGGGAACCACACAAAGGCATGAGTACCAGGAGGCCGGGATCACTGGGGGTGTCTCAGAGGCCAAGAACCAAGAAGAAAAGGACAGATCACACAAGTTTAAAAGCGGGCAAAAAGAGCAGGCATTTCACAGAAGAGGAACTCAAATGTCATTTAAAAACCCCCAGGGGCTTCCCTGATGGTGCAGTGGTTAAGAATCTGCCTGCCAATGCAGGGGACACAGGTTAGAGCCCTGGTCCAGGAAGATCCCACATGCCACAGAGCAACTAAGCCCGTGTGTCACAACTACTGAGCCCGCACACCTAGAGCTCGTGCTCCGCAACAAGAGAAGCCACCACAGTGAGAAGCCCGCGCATCGCCTGCTCGCCGCAACTAGAGAAAGCCCGCGCGCAGCAACGAAGACCCAACGCAACCAAAAATAAATAAAGAAACTTTAAAAAAAAGAAATTAAAATAAATAAATAGAAATAAAAACCACCAAAAGAACTCTCAGCGTCACCAGTTCCCTGGTGGTCCAGTGGTTAGGACTCGGCGCTTTCACTGCCATGGCCTGGGTTCAATCCCTGGTCAGGGAACTGAGGTCCCGCAAAGCACGTGGCAAGGCCAAAAAAAAAATTCTCAGCATCACCAGCACTCTGAATAGTATAAACTGAACCATAACACACTGGCAAGAAAAAGATCTGTCCGTGCCCTGAGTTGCAGGGCATTTGGAGAATCAGAAGCAGTCACCCTGATTGTGGGCAAGTGAATGTTCCTCACTCTTTGGAAACCAGTTTCACATTCCCCAGTGCTAAACAAAGGGCTTGTGACTTGAACACCATTTTCGAGCTATCAGGTTGGCTGCCACAGTTTCATGGGTCCCTCCACCTGGGCACAGTGCTTCCGGGTAACATGGTACCCTGACAAGAGGTCATATCGGCCACTTGCAAATTCACTGTAGAGTTATTTAGGTCTCAGTTGAGGCCAGAGGGACTGCAGGAAACTTGTAAATAATATGCATAAGTTAGAAATTAGAAATGCAGGAAGAGAAAGAAAATTAGTGTCTGGGTTTTTCATTTTATCTGTGTCTGTGTGTGTGTGTGTGTGTGTGTGTGTGTGTGTGTGTGTATGTGAGCATATTACACCCCGAAGGCTGCTTCATACATATTCCTGAGGTCACAGCAGCGGATCACCTAAGCCTGACCATTCCTGTGTTGACCAGTCAGTCAGGAACACCCCTGGGCTCTAAGCCGACGCTTGGATCTGAGTGGTAGTCTGAGATGGTTCTAGTAATTTAAAGGAAGAAATAGCTATTTATGTATTTTTTCCCGGATCAGGCCTGATATCCAGAGGGCCTGGGATCCAGGGACACAGAACCTCCCCGGAGGCCTCAGCATAGGCAGGTAGAGTCAGAAAGGCAGGGCAGGCAGGGCGAGGGGAGTCGCCAGCTGGCAGTCCTGGGGCCCCAGCTCTCAGGGCTGGGAAGGGGTTGCTGTTCACCCGCCCACCCCAGCCCCACACCCTGCTTTCTCTGCACCGCCCACACCCAGTCAGGGAACAGTCTTGGCTCTATAACCTCTGCTTCTGCAGGAGGAGGGGGCAGCTTTGGACGAAGCTGAGGCCAGGAGATGCTTCCTGCCTACCACCCCACCGCCCCCTCCCCTCCTCCCTGTGTTTGAACCGTCCCCTTGGAGAAATGATGGTTCGGAAAAGGGTGTGAGGTAATGCTGCCAGGAGGAGTGACCCCAGGAGACAGAGGGTCAGAGAGTAGTGACTTAGCTGGGTTTCAAGGCTTCAAAAGTAAGCACCCCAACTGCCCCAGCCCCCACCATCCAGGGGAAAGAGAAAGGGATAAAAGACAGGGGAGGTCCCAGCCTAGCCCTCTCCTGTGGGGCGAACTGGCTCTCAGGCACTGTTAGGTTCTAAAATATATTTTTTGTGTTAAAATCCATTCTTCTAGTCAAACATCATATACAATATAAATAAAACTCCCAGAGCCTTGTATAACCATCACTTTATAGATAACTTTCCTTTAACAAAATGATTTCAGATCGCAGGCACGGAGCTTTCCTTTTTATTATTTTTAGAAGTTTGCTCAAATGGCTAAGTTAGGTTCGTAAATTTGAAAATTTTGTTGCAACGGCTGAGGTAAAATTGTTAACTTGTGCAAATAAACACAAGTAACTCATATCAAAGACCAGTTTTTAAAATTATAAAACAATAATATTTTTAAACCAGTACAAGAAAAGTCTCTTCTATCGTTACGTGAAAACTATACAAAAAGATTCTTCACGTTTTGTTTCTACTTCAGCACCCCTGTCACTGTTAAGCTAGGCAGGTATTCAGACAACGTATCCGACTCTGGCAAGTGACAGGGAAAATACCACCAGCCGCAGAAAGCACTTCTGCAAAAATGCAAAAAGATGTGGTGCCGCTTCCACCCTAGCAACTAACTTGTCCGGGAAAATAACTGAAAAGCAAAGGTATGGTGTACGGAGACTTTAGGAATTGTAGCTTTAGGTTCTAGAAAGACAAATATTAAAAACTATCAACTTCTAGAGTCATTTTATTTTCACTTAATTTACAGATGCAGAAATCGACTAGATGTCAATTACAAAACTGAAGGCAGAGCTGAACCGTCTTTGCCTGAGTACACAGTTGATTTTTCCCCTCCCAGGGTATACACCATCCCTTTCAAACCAATGCTATGTATGTCATAACTATATTTAGAAATACGCAGAGAGGAAAATATTACTGCTGCAATTCAAGGCTGTAAATGAGAGGGGAACACATGAAAGCCTCATGGATTGGAAAGCTTCGATTTAGGTCATATTCCTCAATCAATGTCAAATGTCAGATGACATTTGAAGGTGTTAATTATGACCAAAAAAAAAAAAAAAAAGAATCCTGCAACAAACCCCACTCGAAGAAAAGGGTAATACTCTCTCCATACAAGAAAAGAAAATCGATTTTTAATTTCTTCTTCCAGCACTGTCAGAGGTAAACAAAGTTTTCAACAAAATATTTAAGAAGCTCTGGACAGTCTGAAGCACCGATCTGAGTCAATATATAGAAGCAACCACTTGTTTACAGCTGGATAACTTTCTTCAAAAAGGCAGAAGAGTAAAGTGAGCTTCAGAAATCAAGAAAAGCGATGAATACAGGAATCATGAACCGTTTGCACATCAGCCGATGAACCTTTCCGATGGCCACGTCTCCTGCGCGTTGGTGGGGACGGCCGGAACCTCTTCCTCGGGCGGGGCCAGGGCCTCCATCTCGCGCACCACCTGCGTGAACACCTGGTCTACCATGAGTTTGCTCTTGGCCGTGACCTCCAGGAACGGGCACCGCCACTCGCGGGCCAGCGCGCGGCCCCGCGCCGTCAGCACCTGGCGCTGGGCGTCCAGGTCGGCCTTGGTGCCCACGAGAACCAGCGGCACGGCCTTGGACCCCCGCAGCCGGCCCATGCGCTCCCGCAGCGGCCGCACCGCCTCGAACGAGGCCTCGCTGCACACGCTGTAGAGCACCACGAAGCCGTCGCTGTTCTTGATGTACAGGTCCTTGAGGGTGACCAGGTGCTCGGCGCCCACCGTGTCCACGATCTCCAGCAGGGCGGGCGCCGCGTTCACCTCGATCACCTTGCTGAAGAGCTCCTCCACCGACGGCTCACACTGCTCGGGGAAGCTGCCGCAGGCGAACTGCGTGGCGAGCGCCGTCTTGCCCACGGCCACGCTGCCGAGCAGCACCACCCGGTAGCCCTTGGCGGGTCGCGGCCCCAGGCCCGCCATGGCCCAGGCGCGGCTGGCTGGACGCGCAGCCGGAGGAATGGCGCGCGGAGGCTGGGGCCCGGCCGCCGGGGCCGCGGGGGCGTGGAGGCAGGGCCGGGGAGGGAGAAGCAGGGGGGAGAGGGGCGGGGACGAAATCAGAGGGGAGGGGACCCCGGGGGCCTGGCGCTCTGGCTCTGGCGTCGGGGCCGCGGTGGGCTTCTTCCGTCGCGCCCAGACCTGCCCCCGCCCGGCCCCGATCTGCTCCCTGCGGCTCAGAGGTCACCCGCCCCGCCTCCGGGACGGGGCCCCCCGCCCCCCGCCCCCTTCTCCGGCCCCTGGTTCCCGCGCAGCGTCTGCCCCGCCCCCGGCCCGGGCGGTCTGGCGCCGGCCACCCCCCACCAGCTCCACGTCCCGGCCCCCCTCTCCGGTCGGTCCCGAGCTGCCGGCCGCGCTCCGCCCAGTACCCCGTCGGCCTGCCGGCTGGGGCCCCTCCCTCAGTCCCCGCTCCTTGCCACCCGTTCCTAGGAGAGCCCGCTCCGCCCGCGGGACCAGAAGGTAACCTGATCCCTTCCACGTCAGCCGGGAAATACCAGCATTTCTCCACCATTTCAGATCCAGTCTCGTGGCCGGAAGCCAGACTGGCCTCGCTCAAGGTCAGGCCTGGTGGGGCTGCGCCGCTGGGGCACCTCTCCTGGCCGGGAGGACCCCACGGAAGGGGGGACCGGTGAGGGAGCTTCAACCGAGGGCCCCACGTTGCTCGCTCCTGGCACCCATTCTGTGCCCCTCGTGCCCCTGCCTTCACTCTGGCCCCCGCCAGCGCCCTCTTGTCACTGAGCAGAGCCCAGGGGAACTTTATAAAATGTAAATCACATTTCACTTCCCCACTTAAACCCTCCCTGGCTTTCTATTGGGCCCTCCTGATCTAAGAGTAGAAGTGACCGCATAACTCCAACCCAAGCCTGACAATGAAAGCATGAACCCATTCACCCAGCGGCAGGCAAAAACCGAAAAACCCGGGAAACGGGGCTTATCACCCTGCTTATAAAGGGGCTCCCCCAGGTCTGACTCCCGTGCCCCAGTCTCTCTCAAGCTTCCATTCTCCAGCTGCACAGCCTTCTTGCTATTCCTTGATGTCGGAGCAGAAAGGCTGTGTAGGGACAGAGGGGGCTGGACAGAAATTCTGGGATCGTCTACCTCAGTAAACTCCGCCCACTGTCTGTTTCAGGCACTAACAGGTGCCTTAGGACTTCAGGGGCCCTGCAGGCCTGGGTTGGAAGTGGAGATGAGATATCCACACTGTCCCTGTCCCTAGGCTTGGGGTACCACTGAATCTCCCTCATTCCGGTGCAGCCCTGAGGGAGCAGGGCCGCAAAACTGACCGAGCTGGAATTTCCTGGCTCCCTGGCAGCACAGACTCAGAGATAAAGGTTAAGTGACAATAGGACATCCTGCACCTCGGTGTCTGTGGTCAGCTACAGAATGTGCTTTTCTATAAACAGTGCATGGAACATCCTTAACGTATAATGTTAATTATATACTTATTACAACAGACAACTTGATTTCTAAATTGAGAAATCTTACAAGACTTATTCTCTGACTGCAAAGTAACAAAACTAAGAATCAATTTTTAGAAAAGGATAAACTGCAAACATTTTCTGGAGAAATGCAAGTTCCATATAGGTTTCAACAACTCCCCGTGGATAACTTTTGAGAGAAATAGGGGACTCACTGTCAAAACAAAGTCCCAAAATGCACAAGGAAAAAAAAAGTCACTCTGAGTGAGAGCCACTGGAAGCACCAGACAACAAAATCACATCCAGAAAACGGCAGGTATTAGTGTTAACAGACACACAAAATAATTATGTCTGTGTTTAAAGAAATAAAATCTTAAAAATATAAGCAAGGGACAAGAGACTGCGGCCAAGTAGTTTGAAAAAGATTCTCCCCCAAAAAGAAAAAAAAAACCTTCTAGAAATGGAAAACATAATCATTTATTATTTTAATTAACACAAAACACCCACTGATAGGTTAAACAGGAGATTAAACATGGCTGAAGAGAAAATAAAGCCAACAGTATTCAGAGATGTGAATAATCCTGGACCAATTTTCATCATACAGTGACCTGTGCCTGCAGGAGATAAGGGTTTCTTCAGGTTGCCATGAGGCTGCCGGACAGTCACAGAGTGCCTTAAATTGATAGTTGGCTGGTTTGAGCTTGTCATTATTATTTGGGGCTCTTAAAGCCCTTAGCAAAAGTCAGCCTGACCCCCAGTCCTTCTTCTTACCCTGACCTCAGTTCGATTAAAGGACCACTGCTACCGTGTAGGCCCATGCTTTACGTTCCATATGCATGACATCCTAATGCACCCCTAGTGAGTCACTGTAACTGTTGCCACAGGCCAAAGCTCATCACCAGCTCACTTACCACCAGCAGTAAGCGTCCTACAACGGGGTCTGAAAGGTGCGTGACATATCTTAGAATTCTTCCCCAATGTTCTGCTTTCTATAGCCTCTTCTGGTACTAACTCTCTTAGTTCAGGTTCCCTCCAAAAGCGTAATCTATAACATGGGACATGGTCTTGTGGGCAAAGAGTTTATTTTTGGAAGTGATCACGGAGATCAGGAATGGGGGCCCTGGAAAAGAGAAACAGGGACGGGGGGGTCTTATGCCAGGTGCATTGCTGAGTTATCACTGCTGTGGGAATACTTGAGGAGCAGTATAGAACAAACATCAGAATTGTCCACTGATGCACAGAAGCGAGGGGAGCATGTGTCCACTGGCACCCATTCCTCATTGCTCCAGGGTTGCCCTGCAAACTCCCTCTTCCATGTGTGCACATGTGCCAGGTAGGTTGAGTGAGCTCCAGAAGCATTCCAAGCAGCAGCAGTAGAGAGCAAGGGCTGTGCAGTGCAGTTGAGGCAAGCAGCAGCCAGGCTCTATCTGCACAACTAGCTGGTTGCTGTAGCCATGACTAGAGCAAGAAAGTGGACCCAGAGTACATGAGTTTAGGGCATAAAAGATGACTGACTCAGTTCTATTTTTTTTTAATTGAAGTGTAGTTGATTTACAGTGTTGTGTCAATCTCTGCTCTACAGCAGAGTGACTCAGTTATACACATATATATATATATGTATATTCTTCTTTATTTATTCATTTCCATTATGGTTTATCCCAGGAGATTGGATATAGTTCCTTGTGCAATACAGTAGGACCTCGTTGTTTATCCATTCTATACATAATAGTTTGCATCTACCAACCCCAAACTCCCAGTCCATCCCTCTCCCTCCCCCCTCCCCCTTGGCAACGACAATTCTGATCTCTATGTCTGTGTGACTCAGTTCTAATAGTTTGAAAATACCTCATTTGGGGCAGGGGGGCATGTTTAGGAGCATATTATCTGCAAACAATGGTGAGAATATTGCTTATTTCCTTTTCTTATCTTATTGCTTTAGCTAGACTCTCCAAAAATAACAATACTGAACCAAAAGCATAATTGCTGGCAGCCCTCCTCATTTCTTTTCTTTTTAAATTAATTAATTAATTATATTTATTTATTGGCTGTGTTGGGTCTTCGTTGCTGCACGCGAGCTTTCTGTAGTTGCAGTGAGCAGGGGCTACTCTTCATTGTGGCGCACGGGCTTCTCATTGCGGTGGCTTCTCTTGTGGCTTCTCATGGGCTCTAGGCATGCGGGCTTCAGTAGTTGTGGCACATGGGCTCAGTAGCTGTGGCTTGTGGGCTCTAGAGCACAGGCTCAGAAGTTGTGGCACACAGGCTTAGTTGCTCCGCGGCATGTGGAATCTTCCCAGACCAGTGCTCAAACCCATGTTCCCTGCATTGGCAGGCGGATTCTTAACCACTGTGCCACCAGGGAAGTCCCCCTCCTCATTTCTGAATAACAGAAATGTCTTTATATCACACAATTAATATGATGTTTGCTTTTGTTCTCTAACCAATATTCTTTATCATAAGAGGAAGTTTTCGTCTATTTATACCTTAGAGTTTTTACTGGGAACGTCAGCTGTTTTTTGTTTGTTTTGTTTTGTTTTGGTCCCTGATAAATACATAAGGTTTTTCTCCTTTAATTTTGTTAATTTGTTGGTGGATTTCCTATTGGTGAATCCTTCTGTTTCTTACCTCATCTCTTACACCACTCTTCTCCTTGCTACCTTCTAGACACAATGGCCTGTTCCTTTGGCAGGCCAATCGGTTTTCCTGTCTCAGAACCTTCACATTTGCTGTTCCCTCCTCCTGAAACTGTTCTCTCAGATGTCTGCAGGGCTCACTCCCTCATTTTATTCAAGTCTCTTGCTCAAATGTCACTTACTTAAAGTGGTCTTCCCTTGCCCCTTTAAGGGGGCAAGAAGTGACAGGTAGAGTTGTATCCGCCCCTCCCAATCACATGTTGAAGTTTTAGCCTTCAGTACCTCAGAATGTGACCCTATAGGGTCGTTTCAGATGTAATCAGCTAAGACAAGGTTCTACTGGAGTAGGGTGAGCCGCTAATCTAGTAAAACTCATGCTCTATAAAAGGGGAAATTTAGACACACACACACAGGGACAGCGCCGCATGAAGGGGAAGACAGAGATGGGGGGGGCGCTTTCTACAAGCCAAGGAATGCCAAAGATTGTTGGCAAATCACTAGAAATGAAGGGAGAGGCATGGAATGAATTCTTCCTCACAGTCCACAGAAGGAAGGAACCCTGCCCACACCTTGATCTCACCCAGGCTTCTGGCCTCCAGACCGTGAGATACTAAATTTCTGTGTAAGTCACCAGTCTGTGGGCCTTTGTTAACAGCAGCCCCAGGAGCTAACACATCAACCTGTAAGAGGGCTAGGACTTCAACACAGGAATTTGGGGCATACAGTTCCACCTACCAGAAGCCCAGAACTCACTGTCCTACTGTCTTACTTCATTTGGGCTGCCGCAACAGAACACCATAGACTGGGTGTTTATCCCTCACGTTCCTGGAGGCTGGGAAGTCTAAAGTCAAGGCGCCAGCAGACTTAGTATCTGGTAAGAGAAACTTCCTGCTTCATATGTAGCCATCTTCTTGCTGTGTCCTCATATGGTGGAAGGGGCCGGGAGCTCTGTGGGGTCTCTTTTATAACAACACTAATCCCATCCATGACAGCTCCACTCTCAGGACCTAATCACCTCCCAAAGGTCCCACCTCCAAAAGCCATCACCTTGGGAGTTAGGTTTCAACATATGAATTTGGGGGGAGGGTGATATGCAAATGGTATTATATGAAATTGATTATTTACTTGTTTATTGTTTCCCTCATGACAATGTATCTCCCATGAGGGCAGAGACAGCAGATTGCTGAACCTACTGTGTGTCAGGCAGTACCCCCCACAGAGTAGGTACTCCATGACTACAGTTCTGCTATGATGCTTGCTTTGAAAATGGGAATTTGTTCCAACACCATTGAACAGTTAGGGAACAGTTGGAGTATAATGTGAATTTTGCATTCCGTGTGATTTTGTTTACGAGAAATACTGGGTGGACGCAGAAGACTCCACCAGCTGAGCTCAGGTGTGTAGGAAGCACACACACTCACACACCTCAAATGCCTCCCAGCTACCTCCTAACCTCTGTGTTATGAGCCACCCCCCTCCACAGCGGGGTTACAACATTCCATTCACCTCACAGTACCTCCTAAGCTGCAGCCCTTCCGATGCCTACTTCCACAAGCAAAGTTCAGGCCTTTTCTGATAAAGAATCTTTTTTTTTTGGTAGTATTTATGTATTTTTAAAAACTATTTAACTTGTACAACTGTGCTAACCTTCTGTATTAGGTTCCCATCTTTTTAAAAAATGTGTCACTGATGAAGTATTTTGCGTGTTCCGCTCCAGCCCCATTTTCCCCAAAGCCCTATAGTTCTCATTGTACAGTTTTGCGTGGCACCCTGAATTTTAGGAATGCTTACGATACGTCATAGCAAAACCGACCCTATTTGTTGAGTGATTGAATAAATGCTTGCCTTTCTGAATTAAACCCCAATTTATCCTGGTATATTTTCAGTATATTAATGAAATACATTTGCTAACCATTTGTTGAGGCTGTTTGCATCCTAAAGGCTGCACAGAGTCACACAGGATAAGTTAGTGGTTAATGCAGGGCTGTGAAAGGACCCAGTAAGTGACACCTCATTATTCTTGCCCAAGGCCCAAGCACTCGAGAGATGGGATAAAGAAGACTCAATATTTTATATAATATATAAAATTATACCTTGTCCCAGATGATGTCTGGGTCGGAGCAGACGGCTGGCCTTAGCAGACTGCACAGTGACCTTCCTAAGCCTAAATCCCACGTTTGGACTCACCTGCCCAGTGGTGAGCAGCCCTGCAAACCTACAGGCCACCCCAGTGGGAGTGGCCCCTTGAAATTCACGGCAGGGAATCACAGGTAGCAAACTTCACACCATATTCCAGGTGCCCACTCCCCAGACTCCTGGCCTGGTCTTATTATCTAGGACTTGCTGTGCCT